TCTCAATAAATAAATAAATAAAATAATTTTAAAAGATTATTAAATAAATCTCTATTTAGTAATCTCTATTTCATAGGTGATGAAATTCATGCTCAGGAAGGTCAGGTGGCTGAGGGTCACACAGTGAGATGACAGATCTAGGATTCTACCCAAATCTCTTTGATATTCAAGTTTATGACTTGTTTTCTCAGCCACATAGTTGACCTCTGACCAATGATTTAAGAAGCTCAACCCAGTAAGAAGAGAGAGAGAATGGGTTTGCTGGCGAGGGAGAGAAATCGGAGGTTGGGACATTAGTTAAAAGCTGTGGCAATAGCGCAGGACAGAGAGGGTGAAGTCTGGCTCTGAGCATCGTTATTAGAAATCAACCACACATAGAAACTAAGTGGATGAAGAGAAGGGAGCAGCTGCAGAAGACACAAATGCATCCACCTTGGGGAGACGTACTCTGGGAAAAACAAGCGTTTCTGCTTATGCCACGATTACTAAATAAAAGCAGCATTGACATTGCCCTTGGGATTCTTGCTCTAACTCTGGGCACACATTCTAAGCTTAGACAAGCTTTAGTCACAAGGACAAAATATTATTAGTTTAGCTGTGTTTTAGCTCCAGCTTTCTCTATGAATCATGTGTGCATGAATCATAATCACCACTCTTCATATTTTAGAAGCAGATGTATAATTTTTCTTACCCAAGAAAAAAATCAATTGCTGTCTAAATAAGAATCTAATGTTGTTTCTGAATCTCTTTGATTTATTCAATTCTGAGCCTTCATATTCTTTGGGAGTGAGAATAATGAGGAAAGACTAAAAGAAGAAGGTGACAAGGTGACACACACTGAGCATTTGCTCTGTCCATGACTGCTCTCCACTTTTCAAAGTCAAGGTAGGTGTAAGTGTTCCCATTATTTTATAGATGAGGAACCTGAGGCTCATATAAGCAATTTATTGGCTTGGGATCACACAGCTAGTAAGCACCAGAAGCTAGGATTTCAATTAAAGAGTGTCAGACACCAAAGTATATGCTTCCAATGACCCTTCCCCAGCTTACCTAGCTACAGTGTAAAAATATGGTATTAGGCCAACTGACTGCATGCTACAGTTCTCTTTGGAGATGACCTTCAAAGTTCTTCCCAAGATGGCCTTGCCATTTGTTGTTTACTGTCATCTTAGGACACTTCATTAACAGTGGAAAGCTACTTACCTCTGAATACGTTCACTGTCTATGAAATGGGGATCCCAATCCCACCAGCTTCTTACGGTTGACATGAAGTACACCGTTCAAGTAGGTGGGTGTACATGCCAGTATTGTGTCACTAATAACAGTGACACCAGTCAGACTGGACACCTCTCAGGTCCAGGACATGATCATATAATGCCCTGAGCATTTCTACCCTCCTGCTACTTATCACAAGTTTCCTCTGGCACATTATCTGCTCCACTATCAGACAATGTAAATATTTTCAATCTTGCAAGTGTGGCTGAAGCCACATGCCAGCCAGGCGCGGTGGCTCGCGCCTGTAATCCCAGCACTTTGAGAGGCCGAGAAGGGTGGATCACGAGGTCAGGAGTTCATGGCCAAGATGGTGAAACCCTGTCTCTACTAAAAATACAAAAAATTAGCCAGGCGTGGTGGCAGGCACCTGTAATCCCAGCTCCTCGGGAGGCTGAGGCAGAGAATTACTTGAACCTGGGAGGCAGAGATTGCACTGAGCTGAGATAACGCCATTGTACTCCAGCCTGGGTGACAGAGTGAGACTCTGTCTCAAAAAAAAAAAAAAAAAAAAAAAAAAAAGAAAAAAAAAAAACCACATGCCAACCCCCATGATGATGTCTCAATGCACCTCATCTCATTGATGCCCCCAGTGGTGAAGCTTGGAGTGTTATCCTCAAGTTACTGATGTGAAAGCTGAAGTTCTGAATGTTGACATGTCCACAGGGGTACTGCTTTATGATGTAGTATCCTTGCTGTATTTAAATGCAATAAGAGCACTAATGTATTGAATTACATTACTTATTAGAATGCAATAATATTACTAATATTATTTATCAAATACAGCAGCAATATCTATAAGTAGTTTATGTATAGTTTTAGAACTGTTTGTGTATTTTCAATTATATTATCTCATCAGGCCCCAATATTCCCTAAAATTTAGGTCTACAATAAATATTGCTTTAAAAAACACATACAAATGAATCAACACACATATCTGAAGGTCACAAATTGCCCTCTGGTCTGCTCTCAAAATTATCTTTCTAAATTGCAGTTATTATCCTATCACCCTTTTGTTTAAACATTGTAGGGGAGATTTCAAATCTGATTTATCAATAGAACTGAAGCAATTCCAATCATGATTCAAGACTAGGGATCTGGATTTAGCAGATATTTCAAAACCACCTTGTTCTCATTGTCTTTTTGATCAGGGCTATTTCAGCTTTCTACCATCCTGCCTTTCCTGACCTTCAGACTATACTATCTGTGACAGCCTACATGCTCCACTGGGTCTCATGTCATAGTAACAGTGTCGTAGAAGAGGTGGAGAGGTGGAGACTAGATCCTTCACTTTTATTCACTGTGAAATACGGGGAATGTGCAATTTAACGCTTATCTTACATGTGATAACTGGGCATTGGGAAGGGCAAAAAAGGGGCTAAGCAAATGCTAAAACAATGAGAGAACCTGGATCTGCAAGAGAAGATGTTCTCCGGGAAGAACTCAGCAAGATCAATGGACATAAATTGCTGAAAAAAATCACACTTATATGGCCACTTCTTCCATTTATCTGGAAAATACCCCTGAGCAGTTTTTTTTAATGCAATGCACAGCGTCACAGTGATATGAGAGAGTGACAATCATGTGATGTAGAAAGGTGGCTTACTCTACAGAAGTATTTGTAGAAATGTATTCATTCACGCTGGACAGCAGGGATCAAAGTGTCTGCTTATTTTGCCAGTGAACACCAGGCCCTGAGTCCAGCGTTCTGTGAAATGCAATGACAGGCTAGTCTGTGTTTCCACAGACCTCCTCCCACAATCAAAGACTCTAAGGCATGAGTTTGCAACCATGTGTTCACATTGAACAGAAAATCTTTACACAGCATGTCAACATAGGTGGGCATATTTGATTCCGACTGATTTAGCCATCAAGTCTGATTAGAATGTGACTTTCCAAACAGTGTGAGCACAGCAGGAAGAGGTCTTGAAGTTAAATGAGCTGGTGACATTTTGTAAGGGCCAGGCAACCTTCAGAAAATCCTTTAAGATGTCTGAGTCTTAATTTCTTGTTCTGTACAATGAAGTTGAGAACTTGCCACATAGAGCTGTTGTGAGAATAAAATTTGTTGACATATTTACTATAGTGTCTTCTCATATTCTCAGAGGCTGGAGATTTCCTTGCCTTTGCCCCTTGGACCTTGGAGTGCTGCAGATCAATATTGATAAACAGGATGGCATAAATAAGGAGAATAAAGTCCAAATGCCATGGCTTGTTTTTAAGGCCCCCTGTGCTCTGACCTCCTCCAACAGTGTTACTTCCTCTCCTCTCACTGCCATTACTGAACTCCCATTTCAAGTTAGCAGCTTCTCTTAATGACAGGAATATGTTATATTCCTCAGGAGTTTAGAAATAGAGAAGAACTAAGTAATAACGTTTGGTAATGATATTGGTAGAGAAGAAGAATATAGACACAGCAGTCAAACAAACATGGGTTAAAACCCCAGCTCTGTGATATAGTTAGGCTTTGTGTCCCTACCCAGAACTCATCTTGAATTAGAATCCCCCTAATCCCCATGTGTCATGGAAGGGACCTGGTGGGAGGTAACTGAATCATGGGGGCAATTACTCTCATGCTGTTCTTGTGGTAATGAGTGAGTTCTCATGGGAACTGATGGTTTTCTAAGGGGTTCTTCCCCCTTCACTTGGCACTTCTTCCTGCCACCTTGTGAAGATGGTGCCTTGCTTCTCCTTCCCCTTATGTCATGATTGTAAGTTTCCTGAGGCCTCCCAAGCCATGCTGAACTATGAGTCAATTAAATTTATTTTCTTTATAAATTATCCCATCTCAGGCAGTTCTTTATAGCAGTGTGAATACAGACTAATACACTCTGCCATTTCCTAGCTGCAGGACCTATGACAAGTGGCTCAGTTGCTTTCGCACTGAGTGTCCAGGGCTGTAAAATGATGATAAATCCTACCTTACAGGAGCATAAAGCAAAGATAAGACCTACTTTACAGTGGCATTGTGAGAATGCAACACACTACCACAAACCAAGTGCCAGGCATAATGCATGGCTTACTGCAGCCATTCAGTAAATCGTAGCACAAATATTAGAATACCAGAATTCAGGAATCACTACATTATTGTCATTATATTTCTGAAGGGCAATGAAATTTGGCAGCATGGTTGGTGTGCTAATGCTGAAATCACCTGTTCTCAGAACATCTCTATTTGATTAGTCAAAGAAGTTATTTGTGCTTCAATTCACTCACCTGTAAAAACACCCGAAAGTACAAAAACAGTCACCTTCTTTGTCTCGGAAACCTGCTCATTTTAATTAACCTAAAAGGTTTCTAGCAATTCATGTTTGTAAAGCACTTTGACACGCTAAGAATAAGAGGCAATTTAAATGCAAAATTTTATTATAACAGCTTTTTAAAAAATAATTATTACTCAAGGGGCTCTCAAGCAAGAAGGAGCTCCTAGAATTCCACACCTCTTATCTAGGAGAAGGTGCCAGGTGGCTATTGAAGAGCCATGTCTCAAGTACTCCCTGAGAGTTCCTGGAACTCTGCTTCCTCAGCAAAAATAATGTGGGGCAGAGTCAAAATATATAATAAAAGGTAGTAAAAAGAGTGATAATATAAGTGTCTTCAAATACCAGCTAAATCTTGATTGCTGCTACATCTACAAATCAAATTTGAATTGCACTTCTGAGCTCTGTCAAAGAAAAAACAGAGCTAGGCAGTAGTTAAAGCGGTGAAAACAGACTCTATTCTGGATTATTGAAACAGGAGAAGAGATGCCTCAATATAAAACTGGGTTCAGTTTTGAATACAGCACAAGTAAGGGGAAATATATAACCAAGGAGCAGGAGAGGGATCAGGGGATGGAAAACAATTAAGAGAAAACATCAGAAGGAAAATGATTCCGGCAAAACCCACTGAACTGGATTCTTGCCAAAGACAGGCCAGGATGATCAGACATCACCTGGGGATGATGCCTGGCACAGCAGTCCCAACCAGACTCTGGCCCAGCCATTTAACAGTATGTAGCAAGGACTAAAACCAGGTTTCCTGGGGACTGCATTTTACTCCTCAACATCTCCTGTCTTTCAATGGGATGATCTTCTTGACCTAAAATTGCCATGGCAACCTTGTGGGTGGGGTGGAAGAGGTCACTATACAAACAGGTTATCAGTGACAGATGTGGCTTCTGTTCCGTAATTGGTACCTGAAAAAACAAGTGGGTCATCACATTAGCTTGACTCAGGACATCTCTCACCAGGCTATTAGCCTTTAGAAAACACAGAGCTCAATTAACTTTCATGGAAATTGGATTATTTCCTGCCCATTTGACGGCCTTCATTTATCCACTAGGAGCTGTACAAGACAAAGGATCTGGTGAGTACATCCCCGAAAATCTTTGAGGAGGCTCCAGCACAAAGATAATATTCTTCTAGGTTACAAAGAACCTGCATGTAAATTTCCAATTATCATTTCATAATGGCCCTGTGTGGTCAGTATGAGAGAATCATAGCACATAGGACAATAAATGAGGTTCAAGATTAAGCAACTAATCACATATGTCATTATTAGGTACGAGTTCAGACCTGCCTGATCCCAAATCCTATGCTCATTCCACTACACCATGTGACCTCAGTGGTTCTCGTGGATTACAAACACCAGACTCATCTTCAAACTCCAAGGTACAGCTTCACAGGCTGACCACATAACGTCAGAGGAGGACATGACCTAGGGGGAGGGAACATGTCAACCTGGGTTTCCCTTTGACTGGAGTAGTCAAGGGATACTCCAGTCTCTGTGAATGGGGATGATGCATTAACATTAACAAAAAGGGAAAGAACTTTCTACTGTAGTGCCAGAACTTTCCACTGTTACTGTGTGCCAGAAGCTCTCCCAGGTGCTTCACAGCTGCTCTCTAATTTAATCTTAACCCCCCTGCTTGGGATGTATTATTGTGTCTCATGTTACAACGAAAGACACTGGTGCTTAGAAAGTTTGATTGTCAAATGCTAAAATGTGAGCAGAAAAGGCAGACCTGAAATTTGGAACCAGTTCTTGGCTACAGTGCTTTGTAAACTTTGGCCAAGTGCTTTCCATCACTCCAGGCACTTCTAAGGTAATTCAATAGATAACTGAAGCAGTCATGGTTCCTGAGATGCCAACAATAATGCAGGCTTACCTGTGCAAGAAGGGACCCACTGGAGAGCTGGAGTGCAGGTGCGAGGATCATAGGGAAGACAGTGTGGTGAACCAGGCTAAGAACTAAGAGCTATCAGGGTGTTCTTGACAGTCTCATCAGTCAGAACTTGACAAGTTCACCAGGTTCCCACCACTGGGCTGCAGGAACTATAATGTTTTCTTCTGTGTTGACTCATCTTAGTTAAGACTTAAAGTTCCAGGTGAGAGATGCCTTCCTGGCCATATTTAGATAATCAGCCCAGCTTTTGGCTATGCTCTTGCAAACAAATGTCTCGGGAACCCTTAAGCCACCCGAGAAGAGGGCAGATTTCTGGGTTTACTTTCAACCAAGAGCACACATTCAAGAGGCAATTCATCTAGAGGAAAGTCTGGGTGCTATTAGGAGGGAGAAATGGGTGCAAGATAGTGACAAATATCTAGGACAAAAGTAAAATATGGTCTTTATATTTAACAGATAATATATATAAAGTCCAAAAAAGGTAAAATTAGAATTAGTTAAATATCTGTAACAATACACAGGAAATTATTGATGAACTGCATTGTCTAAATCATATCTTAACAAAATCATCATCACTGTCATCACCAAAATCATCATCATTGCTATCATTACAAGATAATATAAATCAGTTCCAGAGCCAGACCACAAACCTACGTTACTGGACATCTTACCCAATACTCTTTTGAGATGAGACATTTTAGAGGTGTCTCTCACAGAGTATAGATGGGAACCATCTTTAGAAAGGCAAGATCAATTTAAAATCTATCACATTTCTGAGATACATTCATACTGTAGGCTTCATCTAATAGATTGAAAAAGTGGCTATGATATTTTAGGACATGTAACTCAAGAGGTAGAGCCAATTTCCAGGCCCCTTGGTTTGGGTGGTAACTGAATATGCAGAAGTGAAACTGTGTGAGTTCCTGAGCCTTCTACCTTGCTATTTTGGAGTGTTTCTGCCACTACCTAACAAAGCCTATACTAGAATATTGAAAACAGACCTTAAAGAAAGAGAGGAACAGTTAGCACCTGCACCAAGACCCCACACATGTGAGTGAAGCCATCGTAGACCCTCCAGCCTCAGTGGAGGAAGTGCTCACTCTGGCAAGTGCTTTGGATGACCCAGTGGCTGCTGCATGTAGCTACAATGTTAATGATGAATACAAGGATGCTGGGATGGATGCTTTTTACAGCACTGGAGAGATAACAGAGGAAAATAACAAGATCTAGCCTTCAGACTGTCTACCAACTCAGCTCTGATGAGAGAACAAGTTTGTTTCTGGGGTAGCCCTAAAAGAATCTCTTATTTCATGTAATCACAGGCAAGATAAGGCTAAAAATCAGAACTAAAACTTTCTTAAACAGGTTGCAGAATTATGAGGAAAGGTGAATTCACACACCCAGCTAGTCTTTTCTGTGAGCTTTAGGACATCAGTTGGGAGGGAGTAGGACTTTGAAAGGGGGTGTTTCATTGGATTGAGATCAAACTGGGAATGTTTATCCATCAGCATCACTATTGTGTAAAGAACTCAATACATTGCCTTGAACACAGCCTGAAACACTATTTGCTTATTTTTTCAAACAATGCTTTCTCCAATTAGTACACACATTCCATGAGAGAAAGAACTTCTGTTTGTTTGCAGACTTCACTCACTACCTGAAACAATGCCTACAAGTATCGCCTACAAGTATGTTTTCTCCTTTTGTGACTTCCCTTCCAATTCTCTGCTTTCTGACATATAGATTCTCTGCTTTCTTACTTTTTTTCCTTAGGTTAGCTTGAGACCTTGATTCAAATCAGATCATAGGGGTGGACCTAGTACGCAAGGATATTTACCCTCAGCACTGTGAGAAGGGGGTGGTCTGAAGACTCAGAGAGTGCAGTCACTTATGACGGAGAATATGCTCTGCGAGGAAAGAGCAAAAAATAATCACGGAGCAAAAGAGAGAGAAATTTGGAAGGAAGGAGGAAATAAGGGGGAAAAATAGAAAAGTGCTGGGAAATCACATACACACAGAGTGATATGGATTGGAGTTGGTTGAATATTTTATATGTCAAGTTCTGTAAGTCCTTGTGCAGTAGGCAAAGGATGTAAAGGACCATTTTATTATCTCCTCCCTTGAATTTTACAAATGTTGGAAACGGAGGGTCTTAAACTATTACATAATCTGTCCAAGGTGTATGAAATAGAACTAGAATACAGCTTGTCTTAGCCTAGCATCTTCAATTTGGAAATTAAAAAAATTAATATGAAGAAGAATATGGGTATTACATTTAAAAAAAGCCTTGGCAGCTGAATATCTTTTTATAGGCACAATGTATATGTTTGGTTGTGCGTCTGTATTTCTGTGTTTACTATTTCATTTGTTCAACATGAAATATTTAATGAGCACCTATTACTATGTGTCAGGCACATACAACATCCTTTAAAATGAATGCTGTTTATCATCCTCTTTCAATGAGTTTCAAAATGTCAAGTGACAGGATGTAGCTAAGACTTAGGTTAGACCTCACAGAACTAGAGTTACTATTTTTTGCACTGTGTTGTCTCAACCTGACCTCTACCACCAAACACAAAGCAAAATAAAACCAAGCAAATAAAAACAGAAAGAAAGAGAGGAGGACAAAAACAATCGAAAACATTCTGGAGAGTAGCCAGGACGTTATGTCAGTCACTCCACAGAAAGCAGAATGTAAAAAGTAATAGATCTTCAATTCGCCAAGTCCCCTGAGTAATGAATTCCAAGCAAACCACATTGTATCAGAAAGCCGTGCGGTGCTGAGGAGTTCCCACTCCCAGGGGGAAGGACTGATGTGCTCTAGCTGTGTCTATAATTTGATAAGACAAGGACAGCAATGGAGTTTGGGAAATGGATCGATTTTAATGCAATGCCACTGACAAATCAGAAGGGACTACGTGATGGTTGTCAGGAGAACATGCCTGCACCTCCTCATCCCTCTATGCGAGGATGGCTTGTCTTTAATTAAGTTAGGGTATTACAGCCCCAGTGAGGCTGCTGCTACTGATGAGTCAGGACTCACCCTAAGGCTTGCATTAAATGGAATGTAAAGACCCCAATAGGTCCTATCTCAAGGCTGTATGTTTGTGGAGCTGTGTGCAGAGGAGAGAAATAGTCCATGATCCACCCTAATGCCAGGCCCTAAAAGCCTCGTTGCTCATCACATCTGGGTAAAGCAGATTTTATCAATGCCCCCAAATAAAATAGGAAATTAATGTTCCAGAAATAATAGATGATTGAGACAGAAATTGAAGCCTGGTCTATCCATTCAAATATTCTTTTCTTTTTCTCTTTTTCTTTCTTTTTACCAGATCCTGTGGCTTCCAAAGACATTCTCCATAAAGGAGCCAGAAAATATGATCTGCACTCACGAAGTCAGTATTAGATGGGGTCCACTTAAATACCTGGACCTTACACTATGAAGGACAAAAGCAGGAAACAAAAAGCAAACAAAAAAAGACATTTTTCAAAATCTTACATCAAACCTGAAAGGCTGAACTCACACAAATAAAACTGCTAATTAGTTAATCCAAGACATCTTTATTTTCCAAATCGTCATTCATCAAATTAATTCAGTCAGCAAGTATTTACTAAGCACTGACTAAGGGACAAGGGCTGTTCCCAGCACTGGGAATCAGAGAGCAAACCCATGACAGGAAGTATTGAACCCTCCTGTTGTGGAGACAACAATAACAGTAACAAAGAAATGTACTTTATGTCAGGTAAGACTCAGGTTATATGAAGACAAAGAAGGGTAAAAGGACAGAGTGCTGGGGAAGTTGTTTTGAATATCAGTGATCACAGAACATCCTCTGTATCATACGTGACCGTACTCTTTAGGGCTCCAAACCACCCTCTTCTCACAGGAAGTAGAAGATCCTTGTTTACTAGATCCTATGATCTAATTTGGCAAGCTGAATAGGCCTCAAGCTACTCTAAGGAAAAAAATAAGAAAGCAGAGAAGTCATATGGCAGAGAGCAGAGAAGGGATAGACAGGTCAGATTAAAAAAAGAAAAAGTACTTGGGGTAGGTGTCAGAATCGTTTGGGGAGGGTGTGATGGTTAATTTTCTAGGTCAACATGCCTGGGCTATGGGGTGCCCAGATATTTGGTCAAACTTTATTCCCAGTGTGTTGGGCAGGGGACTTTTGGATGAGATGCACATTTGCACTGGTGGACTGAGTAAAGCAGATTGCCCTCCCTAATGTAAGTGGGTCACATCAATCAGTTGAAGGCCCCAATAGAACAGAAAGACTGCCCCTTCCAAGTATAAGGGTGGACTCCTCCTGTCTGTCATTTTTTCCTTAGATTGCTTGAAACCTTGGTTCAGCTCACCAAATTAGACCATAAGAGTGGACCTAGTTAGCAAGGATCTTTTCCTTACTGTAAAAGCTGGAATATCACTTATTTCCAGCCTTTGGACTCAAACTAAAACATCGGCTCTTCCTGCATGTTGAGCCAGCCAGCACTTGGACTGGAGCTGCACCATCAGCTCTCCTGGGCTTCTGGCTCACCAATTGAAGATCTTGGGACTTCTCAGCCTCCATAATCACATGAACCAATCCCTGATCTCATATAATAATATCATGAAACTAACATATTATATTATGAAATATATTTCATAATCACACAAGCCTATATCTTTCTTCTGTTCCTCTGGAAAACCTAACACGGGAAAGAAAAAAAAAAAAAAAGCTAGGAATCTGAAAAAAAAAGTTCTTGGGAGATAGTAGCTGTTTCCATGGAGATTACTAAGAAGAGCAGAGGGAGAGAGAAAATCAGGATTTAAAAGATGATCTTCTATATTTTATGGGAACCCCTCTTTACACACTAATCTTCATTTGGGAGATCTTTTCTCAGGAGACTAAATACATATTTCAATCTCTTCCATTGTATTGCTGATACAGTCCAATTGTCATTTCTTTTAAACAATTATCTAATATGTTTACTATAAATAAACTGAGGCCACATCAGGCCCAGGTTTACTCACAATACAAAATTATCTAAGTAGCTGCTATCAGAGAAGCACCAGGGATACATGATGAAAAAGAACTTACAAATGGGTGTGAAAGGCATTCAAATGCTTCTCACATAAATAATTCATTCATTACAACTGTATTAAGTAGAATAAAAGACAAGCACAAGCTGCTAAGAGAGCTCGTGCTGGGGAAACTAACCTGCTCCAAAGTGCCATAAAGGGATTGAGGCCGGCCTGGATTACAGCTGAGATCCAAGGAGCAAGGAGGGAGAGAAATGAGTGTTTCAGAAAGAGGATCCCACAGAAGGAGGAAGGGCTCTGAGACAGGATGGAGCTCAGAGCTGTCAAATGGCTGAGGTGAGAGTGGTTGGACGTGGGGACGGGGGCAGTAGTGAAGCAGCAGCAGTAACCAATATGAAGGGGTGGTCGTCTAAGTGGAAACTTGGGGAGCAGTCAGGGGCCCACCACTCAGGGCCAAGACCAACTTTAGGATTCAAACCCTGCTGAGTGCATTGGAAGCCTGTAGAAGCTACAGAGGAATCCGCTCAGATTTCTTTTTCTAAGACTTCATGTTTTTCAAACAGTTTTAGGTTCATAGCAAAATTAAAAAGAAGGTACAGAGATTTCCCATAAACCCCCCATCCCCACACATCAGAACGTCCCCCATTATCAATATTTCTCACCAGAGTGGTGCATGTGTTACAACTGATGAACCTGCATTGATACATCATAATCCTCCAAAGTTCCAAGTTCACATTAGGATTCATTCTTGATTGAACTCTAGATGTTATACCTTCTATTGGTTCAATCCCTAGATATACATACATATTATATAATCTATGGGTTTGAAAAAATAGATAATGATGGCATCCAACATTACGGTATCATACAGAGTAGTTTCACTGCCCTAAAAATCCTGTGCTCTGCCTCTTCCTCCCTCTCTACCTGCTGACAACCACTAACATTTTTATTGTCTCCACAGTTTTTCTTTGCCCAGAATGTCAAGGAAAAGTTATGCCTTTTCAGGCTAGTATCTTTCACTTAGCAATATGCATTTAAGTTTCCTCCATGTCTTTTCATGGCTTGACAGCTCATTTCTTTTCAGCCCTGAATATGTCGTTGTCTGGATGCTGCACAGTTTATTTATCTATTTAACTACTGAAGGACATCTTGATTGCTTCCAAGTTTTGGCAGTTATGAATAAAACTGCTATAAACATACATGTGCAGGTTTTTGTGTGGATATATGTTCTCAACTCCTTTGGGTAAATACTGAGGAGCACAATTGTTGGATTGCCTGGTAAGAGTATGCTTAGTTTTGTAAGGAATGGTCAAACTGTCTTCCACAGGGATTATATCATTTTGCATTCCCACCAGCCATGAATGAGAGTTCCTATTTTTTTTTTCCATCCTTTCCAGCATTTAGTGGTGTTGATGTTCTGGATTTTGGTCATTCTAATAGATGTGTGGTGGTATCTCATTGCTGTTTTCATTTACGTTTATCTGATGAACTATGATGTGGAGCATCTTTTCATAAGGTTACTTGTCATCTGTACATCTTCTTTGGTGAAGTGTCTGTTATAATTTTTGGCTCACTTTGTAATCTGGTTGGTTACATTCTTATTGTTGAGTTTTATGGTCTTTGGGATGCCAAAGATCCTTCTCTTTCCTTACTCAGCAAGGGCTCATTAGCAGTTGACTCAGGATCTGTCAATCAGTCATCTCCTATCCTGAAGGAATGATGCAATAATGCAAACATTTGTTGAGTGCTGTCTGTGTCCTAGACACTGTGCTAAACTATGTGAATTATCTAATTTA